AATATCGAGCCTCGTTCGAATTCTTCATCATCAAAATGAGCATACGGTACAAATGGATAGCACCAATCAGTGAATATGTTCGCTGCAGCTATCTCTTGTCGATCTAGTCTATAATATAGTTGATTGTAGTTCAATTTAGCCAATTCTGCTATGATGATCATGTGTAAATCTTTGCAATTGCCACTATTTAGTTGAATATTTGATTCTAAATAAGTCACATTGTTGTTAAACTGTAAGTGATTGCTAACCGGCAAAGAGTACATGTCGTGATTGAGTAATGGGTTCGGTTTAGTTTATCGAGCGATATGACATGCCAAAGTGATTGCACACCGCTTTCGAAAGTAATCACTGTATTGAACAGGAATTCGATGCTAATAACAGCAACATCTATCGGTAAATGTGTGAATTCCATCTATCAGTCTTCTAGATGAAAAAAATTTCTTTACAATTGGTATAGAATGAATGTAAAAAAATGATCGAAACTCTTTGATCGCATATGAGAACTCTAGCGCTACTTATTACAATTCATAATAAGGTTAGAGGAGTAAGCATGTGGAAATGTTTGTTACGAATATAAAAAGACTCTGTCGCAATGGTAAACTTCAAAATTTTCTAACATTTCTATCATATAATGTTTGAAATAACATCATACTTAATCATGTACATACACTCAAAGGTCTGTTCGACAATGTTCACGAAATTAGTGAGTCAGAAGAAGATGATTCGACTTTTTCTGGCAACTAAAAATGACGAATCTTTTTCGAGCTCGTTTTCTCTCGATTATATTAACAAAGTTCTCGAGTTGCGTGAAAAAATAGGTGATGAGGACAAACGAAAAAACTCATGAAAATCTATTCATCACAGATTGCAGCAAAGTTCCAATTCAACATATCTCATTCGGATATGTTTGAGTGAAGATACTGGTTGTTCATATTATTTATTTACAACATTAGATTCAACAAAAGGTTCAATCACATTCTTTTGCTGAGTTTGATGAGTTGCTCATTGAGTTCTCTCCTTCAAATAATGATACAACATCTTTTCTTGAAGGATCGTCTTATTGATCACCGAGCATATAGTCAAGAAGGAGACGAAGATTACTGAATCGGTTGAGCAATTTGTCAACTTTTTTAATCATACATCGGATGCCATTCACTTTCTTCAGAACAAATTATCAATACTAACTCAATTATAAAGATATACGTTCAGAATTTTTAAGTCTCTAACCGCCCGTAAAACAGAAAAATTTGAAGAAAAAAAATGAAAAATTGTTTATTTTTTGATATAGAAGGTATTTGAAATCTCGGCTCAGGAAGTTCATAGGGACAAATCATATTAGAATTGTCTTAGTCTCATAAAGACCGATACGAACGGAAAACATGGAATGAAATGGCGTCTGACACTTCAGAATGTTATTTCATGAGACTTATTTCAAAATAAAGAAAAAACATGTACCCACAAATTGGAGGAACAGTTTATTTTAAAATTGGTTTTTATTGAATTGTAGTGAGGGTTTTAAATAAAATATTACAAAAAAATGTTTTAAGCTTCTTCAGCGACTTCCAGATACTTCAACAACGGATACATGTTTCATAAATTCGTACCTACATTTTTATGAAACAAAATTTTGGTCGTTTTGACATAAAACATGTCCATGGTGTTCGTTCAAAGGTGGATCGGGAAAAAGTTATGTACTGGTGAGTAAACGATGGAAAAAAATTGAATTTGAGAAAAATCAATAACAACATCGTGAATTGGTTACAGTATTTTCAGCAAAAATGGATGTAGGTATGGCTGAGTGTGAATATGGGTTATTATCTTCTACTAAGCCACAAATTAGATTCGCGTCCCACATCTGCACCCTAGTTTTCTGTGATAATTTAGATAAAAAGGATCAATCTCATTCAAAATTCATATGATTCTATTAATCTGAACAGAAAATTAAGAAAATTCTTGAGAATACTTCATCTTTCTTTTAAGAAGAGCTGCGATACATAAATTATCGAATTATATATTGTTGACCGATTAGACATTCATACGAGAGGATGACAACATATATTGTAAATGACTCATTCATACAAAACAACATAATTCTATAGAAAGATGACGCATGCATCGAGAGAAAAAGGAAAAGAAGAATATTTTTTGCTTTTTCAACATGTGATATAATAACAATCTTGCACAACCCTTGAGTCGTTCTGATTCTTTCATCAAAATGAATGCTGCGCATATGAAACCGATGACGGCAGAAAAAGTAAGTACTTATTTAGATTTTTTCTTTGTTTTACTTTTATCTTTGGTTGCTTTGTTCCCCTGTGCGCTGGTAGTATGCCTACAATTCTCGTAATGTGACGTTTCTTTTTTGTCTGAATTCGCACCTTTTTCTGTCGTAACAAGACGATCAAATTATTTGATGGCTGTAAACTCATTTGGAAATAGTTTGAACTAAATATTGAAGAATTACTGCCCATCTGATATGTCAAAAAAAGTGTATGTATCAGATAGAAAGAGTTCATTACTTGGTAGCCACTGATGTACATTATAAAAATAGATAGTATGTTTTGCAGTGGAATGTGTAGATTAATAGATGAAACTTTAGCTCATTTGTTCCTATTTCATTATTAGAAGAGTACGGATTCCGATAGTGTTACGAAGCCAAGCTTTTGGGAATGCGATAGTTGCAATCGTATTCTTAAACATGGTGAATTTCGTTTCAACTGCACTGTCTGTCCTGATTATGATCAATGTGAAACGTGCACAGCAACAATGCAACCACCACATCAACATCGGTTGGTTCGCGAGATTGCTTATGGCTATGTCGAAGAAGCAGAATCGACTAGAGCAGATCTGGCAGCAAGAATTCTGGCTGCTATTACCACCTATCAGGATCGTTACTGTATGGGTGTACGCGACCTGGATCCAAATGATCCTAAAAACTATGTAGACTCGTATTCGTGGCAAACATTCAAAACCGTCGGTGAAAGAACCATAAATTTCAGTCATGGACTACAACATTTGATAAAACCACGTGATTATCTTGGTATTTGTGCAGCAAATCGACCTGAATGGTTAATGACTGATTTTGCTTGCATTCTACAAAGTTTTATTACTGTGCCAATCTATTGTTTGTTTAATGATCGTGAAATAGCTTTTATTATCAAAAACACACCAATATCCATTATTGTTTGTGACAAACAAATGTTACCAAGATTCATTCAATTACATTCCGAATGTCCATCATTACGATATATTGTGTGCATGGATCCAGTCCCTCAGATAATACCGAGTAAGATGCCAATCCATTTGTAGAAACAAATTAGAATTCTATGACATTAACTACATCATCTGACAGTAGAATGGAAGTTTATCCCAGTCGTTAAACATTTTGAATAACCTACGTTTTTTTTCATAGAATAGTTAGACAGCTGCTCTGCAATTACTAAAAACGAGTCGCAATAACTACAAAATCTAATCATTGGTCTCTAATATTCTAGCGTAGTTTGAGATATGGAACTATTAAGAAAAAATATTCATAGGAATCAAGAACGTGTTAATATTGTACTCCCTAGGAAAATTAGTCTATATGAATATGTTTCCACTTGTACAAATCATATTTGTTGAAGATAAACTGACCGAGTTTAAATTATCACTTCAATATCTATTTCAGCACTTATATTTTTATATTACACAAGCAAAATGCGTACATTTGTTTGCCTGTTATCAAGAAAGACACTATCATCTCGTACATAATGCAAACTATGGACGTTTGTCAAATGTTTCTTAAAGGAAAAGATGTGTACACCATAGTAGAAGCCAGGAACTCTGCAATAAAGATATGATTGAAAGGCGCAATATCATATCGAACAGAGAGTATGACGTAATTCCGTAAAATCTTATATCTCGCCAACTGATGAGCTTTAATGAACTCAATATGTATAGTTCAGTATCAAATATATTGGGTGGCAATCACAGATAGAATGTTTTATTCGGATTTTTCATCATAATCCGTTATTCTTTAAGTAGTTGTCAATAATCTTTCTGTAAAAAATGACTGTTTTTTAGTTTTTTGAAAATAGATTTAGGAACTAGAGCATACTATACTATGGTTACACTTATATTACTTTAACAAAACTGTCGCTAGTAGAAATCTTCAGTATTTTTAGGTACTAGAACCCTACTTGTAATTACATTTACACAAAATTATTTAAAGTTTTGCAAATATTTGCTTGCCCTTCGCAGCAGGAAAAAAACTGATATATCGAAAAAATGTTCATATAATAATCACATTTGAAATGATGTTAGATCATATCACTGGTTTTGGCGATCTTAAATAAAATATTTATACAGTCCTTGTATGGAATAACATAGCAATCATGATTATGTACATATCAAAAGAGAATTAGTCTCTCGATTAGATCATCACCGTTTGGTTCAAAATCCATGGAAAAAATTGAGAATCTATCTTTTACAACATATTATGACGAAGTCATACGCTTCTAATTTATCAACCAATAAAATTTCCCGAAATATTCACCGACGCCGAGGTTCTGTCTAGAAGTACACTATAGAGTCAATTTTGTGATTGGTTACTATTAACACTTATGTTTTTTTGTCTTTAAAGGAATATTAGTTCGGAAGACAGACATTTTTTATGCCTAAAAACTAGTTTCAAAGGAATCTTTCAGCAATTCATTTCTAAATTACTATTTGAAATAGTATCCTCTAGGAATATTTTCAGAGATATGACAAGCATCAACCATATAATCCCACCTTCCAGACTTTGTACATCAGTTATACACATAATGCAGCTCGAGCCGTAAATTTAGCTAAATATTGATGTTTCAATTAGTAAATAATAAGGTTGAATGTCAATCATTATACCAATTAGAATCCAGTGTATTCAGGCTTGTAACGAATGTTAGAGTTGTACAATGATATACGTTAGTACAGTTCATAACCATAATTTAATTCTAGAGATAAATGGTCTTTCAATTGATTACATGGGTACTATCGAAAGATATGGTGCAATGAAACAATACGACTATACCATCACTAAACCTGATGATTGTATTACTGTCATCTATACGAGTGGAAGCTCAGGATTTCCTAAAGGAGCTATGATCTCTGAAAATGCATTTAGAAACAATTTTCCACCGTTAAATATAACATTTCGAAATGAACGTGTTAAATTCTGTTACCGACCGCTTGCATGGGCCACTGATCGCGAAAGTTCCATTGCAGTATTTCTCGGAGGAGGACGCATAGGATTTTCAACAGGTGACATAACTTGTATAATGGAAGAACTAGCTCTAGTCAGACCGACCAGTTTTTCTGCTCCACCAACTATTTGGAATAAAATTTATGCTGAATATAAAGCAACCCTTTCATTGATGACTATCAATCAATCAACTACTGACGTGACAATGGTCGAACAGACTCTTCTTCAACAATTCAGAAAACTAATTCCGATCCGATGTACAGTCCTTTCTATCGGCGGTGCTATGGTTAGTTCGACAGTGCTCGATTTTATGAAACGTTGTTTTTGGCATTGTCAAATAATGGAATCATACGGAACTACTGAGTGCGGTGTAATTGCATTTGACAATCTTATTGAAAAGACTATCATTTATCGTCTTGAGTCAGTACCAGAAATGTGTTATACACTTGATGATAAACCATTTCCACGAGGTGAGCTTTTAGTTAAAACCAAGACAATGTTTTCAGGATATATGAACAATCCTGAAGAAACAAATATGGCATTGACTGATGATGGATTTTTTCGTACTGGAGACATTGTTGAGTTACGCCATGTGAACGATGAACAACCAAATCTACGTGTTATTGATCGAAAAAAAAATTTCTTTAAACTTTCTCAAGGACAATTTGTATCACCAGAATGTCTTCAAGTAATTTATATGCAAAGTCCATTCGTCGAACAAATCTATATTCATGGTAATCCTCTAGAAGATTCTGTTGTAGCAGTCATAGTACCAAACAAAGAATATGCTCGGGCATTTACTTTAAAATATGATCTTACTGAATTAGATAATAGTCATCCAAATAAATTATTTTATGATGCCATCATGCAAGATCTACATTCGTTAGCTACTAAAGAATCACTTCGAAAACATGAAATTCCATCGAGATTAATCATTGATTTTGAACCTTTTACACCTGAAAATGGCTTACTCACATCATCAATGAAGCTTTGTCGTTATCGATTGGCTGCTCATTATGCCGATCGACTGAAACCTGTCGAATCAATAGAAAATCGTTTAAAAAGTATGATCGAAAGAGCAACAGGGCATCAATTGACAGTAGATCAAGCAACACATTTTCTATCAATCGGTGGTGATTCATTGGCTGCTGTGCGTCTTTCTCGTATGATATACGATGATCTAGGTGTACCTGTACCATTCAATATACTTTTCGAATCCAATATGACCTTAGACAATCTAGCAAATATAATTGAAAATCCGTCACAAATCTTATCGTTTCCGGACTCGATTATATCTCAAGTATTGAACGATTCCATACAAGAATTGAATATAAAGATTGATGAAAAGAAAAATGAAAGCATGTCGTCTTCAACGATTTTTATTACGGGAACCACCGGATTCGTAGGTGCTTTCTTACTAGCTGAATTATTGAAAGTGTATCCGTCCGAGTGCAAATTCATTTGCCTTGTCCGATGTCAAGTGTCGACAAATCCGTTAGATCGTATTCAAGAAAATATGATATTTCTTCAATTGTGGAATGAGGAATTCCGAGATCGTATTGTCGCATTGCGTGGCGATCTTGCTCAGAAACATTTCGGACTCGATAATGAAACTTATTCGGTATTGGCTAATCAAATAGATACTATTTTTCATTGTGGAGCTGCCGTTAATTTTGTACTTCCTTACAATAAACTCTACAGCTCGAATGTTTCCGGCACTCTTGAGGTGATCCGTCTTGCGACTCATGCTACTACATGTATACCAGTGCATTACATATCAACAATTAGTGTACTACCTTCAGAAATGATACACGAAGCACCTATTGATGAAATTTCTCCTAATCATTTGAGAAGCGGTTATGCACAAAGTAAATGGGTGGCAGAGAAGCTCATCGCAAAAGCCAGCCGTTTAGGTCTACCAGTTAACATCTATCGGCTTGGATCGATTTGGGGAAATACAGAAACTGGTGCTTGTAATCACAATGATATTAACACATTGTTATTGGCAGCCGTCATGAAAACAGGCTGCTATCCAACGACAGCCTTTCATATTAAAGTAAATGGTTTACCAGCTAATTTAGCTGCTCAAAGTATTGTATCTTTGAGTCGTCTTCAACCACCTATTTATGGTAAAACGTATCATATTGTTCAATCAAACGAAGGAATAGCATTCCAAAATATAATTGAAAACATCCAAAATTGTGGAATTACACTTGTCAGTGTTTCTTACGACGAATGGAAAGTCAAGTTAATATCACAATCAACAGCAAAGCGTCCATTCGAATCAATTCTAGAATTTTTCAAGAACAACCCATTCGAACGAATGTCATTGACAAAGTCCTCGTCTAATACTATGTCTCAGTTTACATTTCCATCGATTGATGATGTTTATATTAGGAAATGGTTAACATTTATATTAAATCATATTGTACAGTGATCATTCTTTAAAATATATCATTTTGAGTTCTCTAAACCTCCGTCGAAGAAGTTGCCAAATTTGGCAAGACAAGTCATTTGTCATTAGACAGGTTTAGAAAAATTTTATTATTCGTGTCTCGTTTGAATAATAGTGCTATAAAATTTAAATTTTCTCCCTCGCATATATAATTAAGCAGGAATAAGAGTTCTAGATATAATATGTAGATTTTGAAAGGTATGTTATTGTTGAATAGATGCCTGTCAACACAGCTTCTCAGGAGATCAAAATAGGAAATTGACTGACGAATAATTTAGAACAAAGAAGAAAAATAAGATACAGAAATATTAACATAATACATAAACTAGACTTTAGAAATTCAATCGATTTATATCTAATTTGAATGATATCAAACATTATTCTTGCTGATCTCACCACGAATACACATTTGCTTCATTCGCGATGAAAATATTTAAGCAAATTTCTACAAATTACTGATTAACATTGTGAAAATTATTTAACAAAAGTATTTATATACCATAAGAAACTATGAGAGTAAATCTATAGTCAGTCTTTCGATAAAATGCACAATGAATCCATTAGAATTTGGTTCTTTTCTAAGCGTAGAAAAGAACTTCGACTTGCTTCATTGGACAACATTTTCTTATGACAGGCTGTATTGATAATAGAACAGAAACGACAGTTTCCAATAAATGGAATTCAAAAGTGCACAACCTACACCGAATAAGAAGCATTTACCCAAGACACATCTAATGATTTTCTGAGCCAACTGAATCCATTTGATTCTTATGAGCAACGCGAAGGCGAAGTGACCTTCGAAGAAACAGCCAAAGTCGAAAAATTCCACTGATTATATTGCTTCCACATTCCAGAAGTATCCGCTATTTTTACTGTTCTCTTTAAAATCAAAATGTTTTATGTGACGGTGATCGATATTCGATTGAAACAACAATCGTTTCTAGTGTTAAACTGAAAATTCCTTATGAAAGTGAGAGAATAATTATGAACATGAATCAAGCGATGTCATCTCCCAAATTCAGCTACAACTAACTGAAACAAAACCAAGAAGATAAATTACATTATTTTAGTTTTGAATAGTATTAATTACAATAGAAAAAATGGTTCTCATATCTTATGGTTTACTATCAAAATAAGCTAGTGCTTCGACGCTTTGTAGTACAACTCTAATTTTTCGACAACTGTATCGAAGATGATCACCTTTCGCATCTTGATATTGTACTCCGTGACGGCATGGCTTTGCACCGAGGATGTATATTGGTGTTCCGGGTCATAAAATTAGCATCAACCCTTGACGCAAAGAGTGGTCAATATTTGCACGCACTAATTCCACAATAAGATACTTGGCGGTCAGACACCTTCTGGTGTCGCATATATGCGAAGCTACAATGAACAGAGACAATGACAGTGTCAAATAGATACTATTACACTTACTCTGTAGCGAATCTGATGCGGTAGAAAGTACTGAAAGTGATAGCAATTTGGACGGTAGAACCACTTGCTCCGTTGCTACACATATGTGATCAATACGGTGAGACTTTCAGAATACATCGATTTGTTCTTGAATTGAATTTCACGCAGCGCCATCACAAAAAAATTCTATGTTATTCTGGGAGCCTGAAGGAGTCATCAAATTCTCAGGTGTGTTGAGACAAGTCATCCATTTGCTGAAGAATGCACCTATTTCACAATATATAAAGGCAAATACAGAAAACGAATAGCCCGCCATTGCTCACCTAGATGAGGTCCGATGCCTGTCAATGTAGATAGATGACCCTACCTTAGGATGTCATCGTTGATCAAGCGCGAATATGGTGGAGACGCAACTATCTGAGCCTTGAAAGTTGCAGCCTCCTCCGTACTAATGAAATTCAGGGAAATGTTCGCCAATGATCCCATCGTAGGCGTCATGTTGTTGATCGTAGACGAGGAGCTTGAATGCCGAGTAGACTGTTCTTCACGCTGTGCCTTTTGCTGCCATCTGTAGAGTTTGCCCTGAGAAGATAGATGAACATTAGAAAAATGCTAAGACTACAACTTTTTCCTACTTTCAATGTCTTAATAGACTTGTCCATTTCCTTCGCTATCTTGTTGTAACGATCTATAGTTGGATATGGAGTCTTTGCGAAGGTGGAACAAATATAGTTATCTTCCTCCTCAGTATATCCCACTCTCAACGCGTACATAGTAGTTTGAAACGATTATGCCATAAGAAAAAGTGAAATGACAAAAAAAGAGAAGGGCGAAAACGAAAAGTTCATAGAAAAAAAGATATATATGCCGAAGAATTGAATTGAGTAACGATAGAATAGTGAATAATATGTAAATAATCTTGGTTAACGTAAGAATTGATACTCTATCTTAATTGTAACCGTATCATCTATAGAATTGTTTGGTAGCTAAATTACTATACATCATATCATTCTTAATTAATATGACGTATTCCTCTTGCCAGTTCAATTAAGAATGATGTGATGTATTGCAATTTATAGCAATTTAGCTACCAAACATTGCTATAGATGATACGGTTCCAATGGAGATAGAGCGTCAATACTCACGTTAACCAAGATTATTTACATATTATTCACAACACTATCATGAATCAATTCGGTTTTTCAGCATGTATATCTTTTTCTCTCAGCTTTTCGTTTTCGTTCTTCTCTTTTTTTTCTGGGTGTAGGTGCGGGATCTAGATGTAGGTGTGCTTATTCTCTTCATCTGTACCCACATCGAACTCCACACCAGACCCTCTCGAAATAGGAGACCCATGCCGCACGCTTTTTCATAGTATCGCCGGTGGATTGATGATTCATCAGCAGTAGCGCTTACAACTTTCGATTATTTCCACTACAAACGGCTGTAGAAAATGTTTTCTGTCGATATTCGAATTCATTATTAGAAATAGTTCATATTCTTCGGAGAAAAAAGTTTCAGAATATATTTTAATAATAAAAAAGCGCCATCTATAATAAGAAAATTCATCTAAGAACTGGAGTCAATCCGGACATTTTTGATGGCATCAGCACATATTGCAATATCCATGCTCGTGATGTGCAAGTTACTCTACCCTGCAAGATAAAGTCGAGTATGGTAAGACTCAGAAAATTTTTTCCAGTCTGGGTACAGGGTACGAAAAAGTTGATCCTGTACATTTCTAATCCATACAATTATTCCCATCACGAACCTCCAATCAAAAGCAGTACGGCTTTCTTTCTCTCTCTCTGTGTCATTGTAGGGTCGGAAGAAAATTTGTAAATTGGAAACAAATAAATGAATCATCGACCATTATTCTTTTCCGTTCTGTTTGTTTTTGGTTCTTTCCATTCCTTATTAAGCTATTGCATAAAAGACACTGACAAACACGTTTTCTTTTTTCTAACTTATCATTTGCATGATGGCTATGGCAACAAATACCAGAGAACGTTGCAAATTCGGAGCAACATGTAAACGACGTGCAACTTGTCGATACTTACATCCAAAAAACGAACACGAGTGCAAGGCGTTTAATTTTTCTTCAACTGAACCAGATTATGACAGTGTACAATGGCCAATTGGTTCTTATAATAATTTTCAACTTGACTATGAAAGTCAGCAAGCTAATTTACAACCGTTACCCTGGCAATATTCTACCAATCAAAATCTTTCCTATACACAAAGTCAACTATCTCTTTCTTCTAGTTTTCATTCAGTAGTACACAACGATAGCTTTGATTCGAACAATCAACAATCCTATTTCTATAATGTTGGGATTCAATACCATCAACCACCCAATGAAGTGCACACATTGAGCAACCCGTGGCAAAAGCAATCTAGAAATTGTAAAGTCAGAGACTCAGAATCACGATCCACAAACGAGAATGATTGTAATCATTATCGATCAATGTCGTCAACTTGGTTGCAACAAATGAAAGATGAAATTCAAGTTCTATTTCGTGTATGTATGAATGTCTACATCGACAAAAGTTGAAATCAATTTCGTATCAATTCGATCATTAGTTTTGTTTTTAATTTGTAATCTTTTCTGTATAGGATAATATATCAGAAATATCCAAACAACATCAATCACTTATCGTCGAACAACAAAGATTGCTTGAAGATCTGGATGATGATGACGATATAAAACTTCAAAAAGAGAGAAATCTTCAAGAGTTGAAAGATCAGTTTGAAATATTCGAACAAACAATATTCAATCTATCCACTTTTAATCCATTGACGTTGGAAGAAGCTCATTATCTTTTAAACAGGTTGAAACGAGAAATTGGACGTCTCAAAGCTCGTTTACCTATCTATGCACGACGTCAACAATTGATTGATACAATCAAATCCAATCGAGTAATTATTCTTAAGGCAGATACGGGATCAGGTAAAAGTAGTCAACTAATTCAATATTTGACCGATGCTGGATTTGCAGATCATGGTTTGTTTGCTCGAACTACTTGCTAATTTATAAATTAAATGTCATAATTATCTGATTAGGACAAATTGTGTGTACTCAACCACGACGTTTGGCTGCACGCGAATTGGCCTTGCGTGTCGCCAAAGAATTCGGTTGTCAAGTGGGTGAAGAGGTAAGATATTTGTGAAGAAAAACTGAGTGAATACTAATGTATGACGTGTAATAAGACAATAATGGATAGCAAGTTAAAAAGTGGTTCATGCGGACCGCAATGGGAGTACAATTCTTTGACGATACATTACACATTATATCAAAGACGAATCATATCATACATTCAATAGACAGTAGTGAAACAAATAGTCTAGAAAGGCGTCAATCTAAAATAACCAATATAGATAGATTCTTGAAAACAGATTATCCATTTTCAGTACGTGAACCACACATCTTCTCTATGAACAGTCGTCTTAGGCAATGAATTGAGAAAAGAAATCGCATCTCTTTTTAGCAATGTATGGGACTTATTAACATGCTCGACTAACCAAACCTTTCTTTTTCACCCGAGAGGTAAATATTAAATGGTAATTCGGTGTTGAATTTTTAGTGTAAATACTTTTCAGCGCCAATATGAAATTTATTAGAAAAAAGAATATTATTTGTACAAAATATTTAAAATTCTTCAAATCTTCTAGGTCGGTTGTCATGTCGGTGCTTGTCGCCCAAAAGTTTCACGCCGAACTCGAATTCGTTTTGTTACCGATGCCGTTTTATTGAACGAGTACCAAATGGATCCAATGTTACGTACTTATGCTATAGTTATCATTGATGAAGCGCATGAAAGACATGTTGATACTGATCTACTCTTTGGTGCCATGAAATTATGCTTAAGCAAGCGTCCTGATATCAAGGTAAGTTACAGTGTTGAATTGCAATATTCTAGAACATGAAATTTCGTGTTGGATTTCAAACTAACACATTCTTTCCGATGGTGAATAGAAATACTTAATAATAGTATTTCTCTAGTTGCAATAGTCTTCCGAGAGAAAAACAGAGAAATTTTGATGTGGAGTTCTATTATGAATGTTAATTTGAAAGATGACTAGTAAGATTGAAGCATTTCATCTTATAAGTCTAAATTGAATGGCTATGTTGAGTGAACCATATTGATATACAATTGTAGACATAATGGGTGACAATAAGTGATGTATTATTAAAATTTGTATTATACTATAATAGCCTATATTTCGTGCTTCTACTCTTAATTTAATAAGTATCAAACATTTCTCTTCATTCAATTATACCATTTCGAGTTATTCTGTTACTTTTGTACCGATCACTGGGAGAAAAATTTGTTCATTTCGCTGATATTGAAGTATTCATTTTCTTGATAGATCAATCAAGAATAGTTTCTTATTCCAAAATTTCATTACTAAGAATCTTGAAGGTCTAACAATAGTAAAAATTCTCGATTATTTGTTTTGAAAAAATGTCATGAAATATGTCCAGTCATGTTACAAGTATCCTAGAATATGATCTTCTACCTATTCGTGAAGCTTCTTCTATCCACACGCTTGATGTTTTTGACCAGATGACAAATCGTTTTCTTTAAAATTTGAAAATAGATTTCATCGAAAAATATCATCCGATTTCATATGTCGTTCATATGATCTATTATCTGTTGTACTTGCTTCTTCTTATGCTCTTCACTTAATATAGAAGTCATACGAGTAAAAAAAAATGTCTATTTGAATCTAGTGGATGAAGTTACTGTTAGATAGTTCATTGAGACACACCTCGATTTAAGTTTTCTAGTATTTCCTAGCTAACTTCTTTCATAGTTTTCTCGCTTTATATTAGAAGTAATTGACCGATCGCAATATTATTGTTAGATGTGATTATGTGAACTCGGCGATAACTATATCTATGTTAGATAGATCTTATTTTTTTGCTCTTGCAATATTGCGTCAGATAGTATGGACAGAAGTCTTCATTTGATAGGAGAATTGCAGTAGTAGAGTGACGATCTTATATGCAGAAGTGGAAGACGATTGATCTTGGGGTCAATAGACGGTTGGCATTCAAACAATGTAGACATTTTGCTCAAAATTAAGGATGTTTTTCAAAAACTTTACTACTACCTATAAAGTATATATAGATATCACTTTTCAGTATTAATTTTCTAGTTAATCGTCATGTCAGCAACACTGGATGATAAACTGTTAAGTAAATATTACCAAAATTCATGTGTAATTGAAGTTTCTGGTCGAGCATTTCCTATCAAAGATATTTATGCTATGGAAGATGCTGAAAATCATGTTGACGAAGCAGTAAACAAAGTTTTAGAAATTCATACTAATGGTATTCCTGGTGACATACTTGTTTTTCTTACCGGTCAGGATGAGATCAATCAAGCTATCGATAAAGTTACGAGAAAACTTGACTCTTCAGAATCGGTTCTTGTTTTACCATTGCACGGTAAATTAAATGAAGATGAAGTACAAGCCGTATTTATGACCAAGAATAGCAAAACACAACGCAAGATTATCTTTTCAACCAATGTGGCTGAAACATCAATAACCATTGATGGCATTCAACATGTCATAGATTCGGGTATGGTTAAAGAAGTCATGTGGGATACTAGACGACATATACGAGTACTCAAAATTGGGTATACAACGCAAAGTTCAATAAAACAACGTCGTGGAAGAGCTGGACGAACGTCATCGGGAACGGTAAATTATAGTATAGCAACTAGTTCTACTAACTGTTTCACTTAATGGTACACAAAAAAATCTCTGATTTATTGAAATTGAATCATTGACTTAAGAAAAATATCTCTCAGGCTAAAAGTGAACTATGCTTCAAATCACTAAGTAAAACAGCATCTGAACAAACAAAAAAGTAAAATGAATGTTTGTATACGTAGTTCGTTTGTGTAATTGATAATTTTTCTAAGAAAAAAAATGTGTTGTAGCCCATTAAAGTTTGCCTTGAAAAAAATTGCATACTAATAATTTGTGATTTAAAACTGAGCCAATGTAAAAAAGTAAGGAAAAGAAATATCTATTTTAAACTCATCGTAAGTTTTGCAGAAATTTCTCTAATAAAATATCTTATAAAAGTAATTGTTCAGAGTTAGTTTATCGAAACAATGATACGAAACGTGTATTGTTTCCCTTTCTTTTTAGTGTTATCATCTTTACACATATGATACTTATCAATCACTAGAAGTTTGTTCGCGTGCAGAAATTCTTTGTATTCAGCCGAGCATAGCTGTGCTGAAACTAAAACATCTTGATATAGTCGATGATATTACAAAGTTCGATTGGTTAGAATCACCTTCGAATAACAGTCTTCAAGAAACTGTTAAAAGTTTAACATGGCTGGGTGCAATCGATTCAAACACTGGAAAATTGACTGATTTAGGTCGTAGTATGGCTAAATTCGGCCTTGAACCTATGCTTTCAGTTATGATTTTGATGGGACAAAAGCTCAACTGTCTTAGTCATATACTTGCTCTTGTTGGTATGCTAAGCGTAGTACAGAATATCTGGTGGCGTGGTGAAAATGATGAATCAAAACATATGAGTAATGAGATACGAGCTTCATTCACTCGAGATACAGACATGGGTGGTGATTTCATCGCTCTTTTGCGCATATTTCTCGAATGGCATGCAATTGGCGAAAGGAAAGAACGTAGAAAAGCTTGGTGCCTTAAGCATATGATACGATGGAAGTCAATGACGATGGCGAACAGTCTCATTAGAGAATTAGTATATCAAATAGATCCTAAATTTCAAGTTCATTTGACTGAATTGAACGATGAGTTGATCGAACGAATTGTACGCTGTGTATGTGCTGGTTTTTTTCAAAATTTGGCCATTTCAAATGGACCAATTCGTGCTGGATATCAACTAGCTACTGGTACAACAGATACAGTTGCGCACATACATCGATCATCGGTAATTACCTTTGCTCAACAGCCGCCCAAGTTTATACTCTATCATGAAATAATCAATATTAACGAGACAAATTATCTAACTGTAATCTGTCCGGTTGAGCTCGATTGGCTTAATAAATCATGGTTGGATTCATTACCACGTTCACCTTCACAATGTGTATTTGATAGTTATACGTTCATAAATCTTGGTCCGGCATTATTACTTGCACTTGTTGGAAAAAAATGTAAAAAAGTGCCACAACTTGAAGAGCAATTGCATGTCTTGTTTGAAGTTGATCGTGCACAGTCGAAACTTATCGTCTGGGGACATCCAGAAAAACTCTCCAATGCCCAACAATGTCTTCAACAAATTTTGAATAAAGAACGAGACAAGTTACGTAACGAATTGCAAGAATTCCAAATTGTTGGTTCGACTAGAATATTACTCGGAGCTGGTGCTGAACCTCGATTAGTATTGGTAGAGGATGAATACATCAAGATCTTTCTCAAAAATTTACCAAAAAATATCACTGAAAAACAAATTCAGGAAAAGTGTGAATTATACGGACAAGGTAGACTGAAAGAAATTTGTATATTCGCACGATTTTCTTCAATAATCCAACTAAATTAGTCATTTGCAACATGTTTTTGTAGGCAAAGATTCAATTGAATCTAGTTGCCATTTAAGAGCCTCTTCACTTTCTTGACTGTCAATCATCAAATTTTTCCAAATTGATCTTTTTTCATCACTTAAACTAATATGGTGTATTACATACAGAATATCATATTAACACATGTTTTAGATTTTAGTTGGTTTATTATTATTAAAATCGACTTGAAAGATGCTTCGCAGAAAAACTTCGCTGTCTATTAAAAAAAAAAGACTTTTGAGTTCGATCGAACGTACTTTATTGAAAAATAAAGACAAAATTGAGTTCATTTTAAGTGATTGTGACTGTGATCAATCGTAGAATGACAAACTATGTAAACTTAAGCCTACTACGCATTTCGATCTACTAAGTAAAATCTATGTATACTGATTATAAATTCTTCTTTAGAAACCTCAGAAAAGAGTAGATGTTCTTAAAGAAAAACTCTTTCCTATGTTAAATATCATTGTATTTTTCATTCCATTCATCGGTGGATACCTTTCTGGAATTCGTTTTTTTTAAATTTCTTTTTAATTTGATATTACAGTTCGAAATGTGACCATGATTCGAACAAACTATAATAGCATCTCGGCTTCTGTTACCTATGCCATATGCCGCAGTGCTCGACTAGCGGTTACTCAATTATCATGTGAAAAATGGAATGGCTGTCAAATATATGCAAGCCCTAGTTATACGCGTACATCAGTCGATACTAACAAGCAGAATTACAAGTTGAAAGCTGAATGGTTTATGACTGAGTCTGAATGTAATGGACGCGTAACATTTAATAAACTTCAAGAAGCACAACGAGCTTATCAAGTGTTTACAGATCGATGCCATTTTCGTTGTCAATTTGAAATAAATCCCATCAATCCAATGGTTAAATGTTCTTGGCCATTGAAACCGCATCATGGTCACGCTATTGTCAATTTTTCAACAGTTGAACAAGCTCAAGAGGTCAGCTACACCATTCTTTTCCTACGAAAAATGTTTCTCTTTGATATAAACAAATTTTAACAGGTTCATATGAAAGTACTTTCATTTATTAACATGTGAAATCATTGACGCGAGTGATATGAAAAAAAAACTTGCTGGTACATTCAATTAAGTGATTGTCGAGTGTTTCTATAACTTTATCTAAAATGTACTTTCACAATAGAAAATGTTCATGACTTCGAAATCAGTTGCTTTGTATATTATCTTCTTATGATAAGACTTTCACAGAATAAAGAATTTTCTTCGTAATGACAGGTTTTGTAGAGATGAGAAACTAAGTTATATTCTAATTGACTAGTTAAAAACCAATATTATGAATATCGACCATCTAGATATTACGATATTTAGGCACTAGAAGCTGCATATCAATATCCGTTCCGATTACAACGAAGTCGAAGGTCAAATAATTCCATATACGTTCGAAACATTCCTTCAAATCTAGATGAAGTCAATTTAAAAACAATTTTCATTGCTTGTACTCATGTTATATTGCTAAGAACTCGTACCAGTATGTTAAGAATGACACCAATCGGGACTGAAGATACTGTTTATCAGTTGTTCGACAAGTATTCATCGTTTCAGCGTGAATCAGTTTTTATTGAACCATATCAACATGATGGTCGTGTAGTAGCCTATGTCCAATTTACTGATGAACAAGAAATGCGAGAAGCCGTCGATGAAATTAACGATAGGCAGACTTCGGTCGGTGCTGGTTTATTAAGATTATCCATCGTTCAACAACAACGACAGACAAACATAAGAAGAAAAACAAATGAAAACAAACAAGATGAATTTCGTGTCAAACTTTATCAATTACCATCTCATATCGACGAAAGATTACTCATTCGAGAACTCAATCAGTATAATATTAGCAATTCTATAACGTATGCAACTGTGTTCCGTAAGAAATTGCCAGCAGATTATTTGTTGGATCGGTCTGGAACAATGGCTGACGACAATAAGAAGACTTTCATCAAACTCAAATCGCTTTTTACCTCTCGGAATCTTTTTCTGTCGGAGCCAGGTATTGAAATCCGTTCACCGACCGAAGATGGCCGTGCTGTTGCATACATTCGTTTCAACGATCCACGAGATATTATGACGGCGATTAACATGTGTGATTCATTAGATAATTTTACTATGAACAATGTTGGAGTAAATCAACTTTATTTTGTTCCAATCGTTGTGCATAGAATCATGGTTAATCAAGCACTTGCACAAGTCATCGATAAAAAAATTGAACAAACTATGAATACTATCCAAACTAGTCATAATTTTACCAACATATCAGTATTCAAAAAGACTGTTATGAGAGATGATAATACCAATGTTCTTATTTCGATTCGAGGAACAAATATTCAACAGCTTTACAAAGCACGTATACTTTTCGATAGTTTATTGAAAGGCCTACAATTTCAACTTTACAATCATTCATGGGTGAGTTTGTGATTGATTGGATCTATTGAGAACTTTGAAAAAAAAAATTATTCAATACTGAAGTCGAATTTATGAAAAAAACGAAAACATTTCATTTCTTTCTTTCTTTCTTTCTTTCTTATCAGGTACACTAAGTATTATGCAGCACATAATTTCAAAAAGAATTCTCTGCCATAAACTTAGTTGGGTAGTTGATGTTATGAACAAACGATTCATAGCTTTTTGAATTTATTCTTTTACTGGACAACAATATGCAAAAGAAAATTTACTAAGTTTTCATAATATTTGAAATATTTGAGACATCTCTCTCGTCAAATATTTCCTATTCAACTATTGAATAAGTAAGAAAATATTTGATTTCAAAAAAATATATTGTATAGAAAGATGAAAATGAATATATGCAAAGTTGTAGATTATTCATTTACTGTTTTATTCATTTCACTGAATACTTCTCTAATATCAACATCATTTATCTATTCTTAATTGGTTTCGGTGGAATATTTCCTCGATGATTCAAATCAAAAATATTGAAGAAATAAATTTTTCCAAAGCTAAAGTAAAACTAAAAAGAAACATTTCTTCATTTCTAACTATCTACACGATGAAATCAAAACCTAGATTTGGAAGCTGTTCATTATCATAAATTTTATAGACATCTAGAATACCTAATTTAGTGTAAATGGTAAAAATGCAATGCGTTTGACTGTGTTTTGATTAGGTAGATAACAACACAAGAAAACTAGAAATATCTCGTTTTCATTGTTCAAAAAAGAATGATGTGCAAGATTGAAATTTTTCAAAATTTGAATAATTTCTCATTACGTTAAATAGAAGGATAGGGAAGGGTTTCGACGTTCTACATCAAACTTTCAATGTGATACTATTATTTATCAATAAAATTTTTGGATACTTTCATCATGCAGCATTTATCTTTTAGGAAAGCAAGTAATAAATCAGCAGTATTGAAAGAATTTTTCCAGATAATCAGATGAAATTTTTGTTTTCGTCCTCATCTGTTTCCTCATAGCATATCGATCATGATACAATCTTTCTTGTGCAAAGAATAGTCTTGATATGGATTGGTAGTACATAACTTTTCTATTATTTAGGTTACGGTACTTTTCGATGCAGCAGGACAAAATTTTCTTCAAGATCTTCAAAAACATACTGGTACATACATTTGGTGGAATTGGAAGTCGACATTGTTGCGTATCTTTGGTGAAGATACAGTATGTCAAGATGTTTATAGACAGATAGATACTTTCATTCAAACGACACTTTCACAACGTGAATATTCTGTTTCAATCTCGATTCCAAAAGGTAAGCTCGAAACAGAAGTCTAATTATCTGATTTATCTATTTTCAAGATTGCATCCGACAATGTATTCAAAATTCGAGTGTACTCCGTGAATTGAATACTAAGAAAATAAAAGTTGTGATCAATATGATCAAGCGTCTTATCTTAGTGAGCGGTGATCAAGAGGCAGTAATTGCATGTGAACAACAAGTAAAACAATTCCTTGACAAATTTGCATGCATTTCCAATCGTTCAAATGGTATTACGCCAGAAAATATTATAGTTAACACGAAAAACATATGCTCTATATGCAATTGTGATTTCGATTCTCCGTATACATTGGAACAATGTGGACATACATTCTGTCGTGCATGTTTGACTGCTTATTTCGATGCATACTTTGATGTGACCTTGAGTTTTGAAACTTTTAAATTATCGTGCCCATTTTATCAATGTGATGAAATTTGTCTCATTCGTGATATTGTTTTTGTCATTGGCTATGAACGAATGGCTCGTCTAGCAATGATTGCTTTTCAAGTTTATATTCGTCGAGCCGATAACGATTTAGTTCAATGTGTGGGAATCGATTGTAAGCAGGTATGACAGATTCAATGTTTTTCTGGAGTCATTAAAAAGTAAAGAAACAATGCAATTGTATATAGTTCTCTATAAGTCTTAGATAAATAGAATATGTCATACTTAGTAAATTGAAGCAAATATTCTCTTTCTAAATAGAACTCATTGATAGATGCATCAATGAAAAATTCGGCTTGTCTTCTCAAGTTTTTCTTACTATTTGAAGCCACTGAAGCCCGAATTTTCTGATTTCTCTATTTGTAGACCTTTTATGAAAATGTTTATGCGAAACGTGAACATTTCATTACTTTTAAAAAAAATATACATCAAAAGTCTTAAAGGAACAGGCCCAAATGAGAAACTATTGGATCAGATTCCGATATAGATTTTTCTGCTACCATAGTTTTTAAATATTTTTGATGGAAACTGATTAATAGCTATAAATTCAATATGTCACTGGTTATTCTTGATCAAGAGCATTAAGTCTTGTTTGAAATCATTCGAAAAATTGATTTTTCGGTGAAACACTGAACAGTTTATATTCTTTCATTTTTGATATAATTCACACAGCTAACACTAATTAATATATATCATGGAAAATCGAATGAGCTTTCAAATATAAATACTGAAGATAATGTTCGATCATTTAACGAAAGGATTCGAACCGATACCAAGGCAAATTAAACTATTATAATATTGTATCTCAAAATTGCGTTGCCTCTCTAAAACAAATTGCTTCTGTACTAAGAAATAAATGTATTGCTGATAATATGATTATGTTAGCAACACTAATTATGCATAGAATTGTTTTCATGAAAATTATAACGATTTGATATCGTCCAGTATTCGATACAATAAACAAAGTAAAAGCGTAGTTTGTTATTAATTCTCTCATTGTTAGATTCGTTTTTCTATTCATTGAATTAGAAGCAATTATTGGAATAATAAATCAATTCTATTTGTTCAGGTATATCGTCCATCAAAATATTCGTCAATGTATTTTTGTGATCAATGTATCAAATTCTATTGCATATCATGCAAAGTTGAATATCATATTGGTATGACATGCGAACAATATAAAAAATTACACGAGGAAAAAGATGAAGATGCCATATTGGAATACAATCTAGGAAAACTATCCCACAAGCCTTGTCCCAAATGTCGAACACCGATTGACAAATATGCTGGATGCAATGCTGTAAAATGTACATTATGTAATATTCATTTTTGTTGGCGATGCAGTGCAGCTGACGACGTCGATAGTAAGTTTGACTTGTGCAATATTGATTTCATCAAATGAAAAAAATCTTGTTTTCTTTTTTACTTTCATTCTAATAGTTCACAAGCATTTCATGGATCCAAATTCGTCATGCTACAACAAAATGTTGGATGAAAATGTAGCTGTACCAGAATTTTAGCACAATTTATCTTTCTCAAAATTAAGAGACGCATAACATTATCATTTATTCATGACGTGTTTTATCTAAGGTGCTCGACATAATAATCGCGATCTAGGTGATCATGTTTACTAAAAGTTATCATATAAATAATTATCAACTGAGAATACATAAGAATATTATAAAATGCTAAAACAACATACGTCATTCACATCATCAGCTGGATGTTTTTTTGTTTTCTAGACCATTTAGATTAGAAGAAAACTTTTCAGCATGTCCATCTTGAAAGATGTTTCATATCTCATCATCTTCTTCAACGTTTTTTAACAAATATCTCTTGAGAAATTTTAACATTCATTCAGTTCCCTTCGACTTCTCTTTTCTAATATGATTTTTGTTTTCGTTGCTTATGCTTCTATTCAAAACAAAACCCATGCCATGAGATCAGATCAGATCAGATTCATAAAGAGTAGAGGATATTAAGTGAACAAGCAATGTCTTGAATGTTATCCCATCAGTGATCTAGGTGGATATTAATCACATTGCGCAATGTAAAATATCCTCCGCCAATATGTATTCGTACAGTTGATGGCAAACTCGATTGAACCGATGATAAAAAGAAACGATACAATGACAAACTAGACAGACTCTTTAGTAATGAAATATCTTTTCAACTAGATCAACTATTCATCAATGAACTGATCAAAATTGAAAAACAAATAACAAAATGTCAGGGGTTGGTCGAATAGATTCGAGCAACATAAAAATCGTGTTCATTCGATACATGGTGAAAGAAATAGAGAAAGGTTTTCAGGTTTTGAAAACAACAATCATTTGTTATCATTATTGGATTTATCCCAATGTTTTCGTCAAGATTTTTGTAGAAATAATCTTGATAAGTACGCATTCTAATGTGAGCAGATAAACGAATAAAAAACAAATGCATCAAGAAAACAGCAGGCTTCTGTTACAGACACATCAAAGTATATGAGATATATTTGTACGTTTGACATCGAAATAGTACAGTCAAAGATCGACAATATATTACTTTTTTGGATATCACTATTAAGTTTATATAGTATAAATAGAACGTCTAATTATGTATCAAGTATGAAGCGGAAATTAAAAAAACTGATGTTCTCTTGCTTTTGGGTCTACCTTTACAATAATAGTTCAAAGAATAAAGCAATTCTTTATTTGACTTCGCATTGCAGGAATTACGTCTACGTATTGTGATAATTGTAATGAATATCATGATTGCGATATATAGAAGCTAATTATTGCTGATCGAGGAGAAAGTAAGTATTCTTTCAGTGAATAATGAAATTTATGCGTGTAATGTCAGCTCTATTCGTTTTAATCGATTAGATGGATTGGGAAAAATCTCGGGCATTAGACGAAATCAATATTTAAGGCTAAAAAGCAAGTTTCTATCGTATTAAAATAGTCATATTGTAAAACTTACTTAAATAATTTAATGAAAGAGCCATGTTGAGGACGTGACAGTAAACATTTAGATTAATGTATATTTTTTCTTTCTGCTTGATATCTTACATCGACGGGTGCTGCTTCAAATTTGAGACAATTAATCTTGATGTTACTACTACTGCAACCGTTCTGTTTACAAATGCTGAAGTGTTAAGCACATTAGTTATGGCTTATCAATTTGAACAGACAAACTAGATAGCCGATCGATTATCTCAGACTGATCAACATTCGTATCCTTTCTTCTTATTGATTGGCTCAAGAATCTAGTTCTTAATTTAATTCGAAAGTCATAACTCATAGTGAATTGTCAGATTACTTGATTATTTGCTTTCTTTTGATGATTAAATATGTTGTTATTTTTCATTTTTTTCATCCTATATATTAGCAGCACATCACCACAGTTCGGTGTGGGCATGGATATTTGCGTATATAGTTCAAATCTACATCCATATGGACACCCGCACACACACAATAGCACTCACATCCACGCTAGGATTCATACCATCTACCCACACATAATCTTCTTAACCAACATATTCATATTTTATCCTGCTTGTCTATTTCCATATTCGTTGACACATTGAAGGATAGTTGATAAAAGTTTCAATGTGAATTTTTAAATTTTACCTTCAATAATGGAAACAAGAAATCAGATAAATGCTGTGATAGACCACAAGACTAACAAGCAGCAGGTTATCCTTGTACATATAAACGTACGACATTTAGAGTGAAAGTCTGCGTTATTTAGAGAAAATGATCCAACATCATTATGAAACGGGAAGAATCTTTATAATCATTGGAGAGATAGAACTGAAAAGTAGAAAGCGTGTTTCGCACTGAGCAATAGTGAAATCAATATATGAACATGAAGTAAAAACAAAAAAAACGATGACGAATTAAAAAATGAAGTGAAAACAGAAACTGGATGATAGCAGCATAGTAACACTTGAAGACGAACGCAGAGTTCCTATAGTATGAACGCATATCGAAAATATTCGTATTCAATAAACAGACAGAGGAGCATTCGATACGAGTTCTTGTTGGCTTCTAAAGAAGTTTACGTACATGTAAAATATGCACTGTAGTTTGAAGAGCTATTGTTTATGAGTTCCGCATGTTAACCCTGTCAAGGATTATCCTGACAGGCCTTTCTCAATCAAATGTATGAATGTGGTACCTCTCTCTTCGAAATTCGTAAACATATCGTAACTAGCGGCAGCTGGTGAAAGCAAACAAGTCTTACCAACTCGAGTAACTTTGAAAGCGATATCTACTACTTCTGCATATGTTTTCGTTATATAAAGGTGATTTTCTGGTAGTAAGTTTTTGTCGAAAGCTTCATGCATTCGTTTGCCAGCAGATCCAATAAAGATCAAGTTTGGAATAGGATGCTGGTAAATAAATTCTATTAAGCTAGAGTAGTCGATTCCACGATCAAAGCCACCCAGAATCAGAGTATCTACATTTTGAATCGTTTTCAAAGCTGCGATAGTAGTTTCAGGAATTGTTGAAATGGAATCGTTGTAAAAATGAATGCCCCAAAAATTTCCAACATACTCAAGTCGATGAGGAAGCGACTTGAAAT